GCCTCCATAATAACATGTCAGGGTACTCTGTTGCAAACATGTTGCAGTAGGAGGGAGGGAGGGTTTATTTCATGGAGGCCGTGGTTTTTGAAAATGATCAGGATACCTCCATATGCTCCCCCCGTCCAACATGATGTCATATCTTAATAATGATGATGGATCCCAAACAAGAACCCCTAATTTGCGGAAATCACCCTAGACCCGAACCGGAGCCCTAAAACGTGGGCTCTCTGCTTGCCAGGCTTCCAGGTGCTCACGGAGCAGAGATATCTCGCGGTCACCCGCGCCCTGGACGTTTAAGGATCGCTTAGGGATTAAGGTAAGGGGTGTAGGGCTTAGGGCCTCGGAATTAGGATTGGGCTTTACAGGTTTAGAGTTCAGCATTCAGGCTTTGGATTTTGGATTCAGAGTTGAAGCCTCTGAAACCTGAAACTCTTCTCTAAGCATAACAAATAACAATATAATGGTTATGAATATGTTGAACGCAGGCAGTCGCAGTGCCCTAAAAGCAGGAAACACCCCCAACCCTAAACCCCTAAACCCAAAACCCCTAAACCATTTCTTGAAGCTCTGGTCCCCTTCGTATAACCTTGTATAGGGACTCCCCTTTGCAAAAAAAATCTGAGAAAACATCACATCCGGCCTGGTTTCTCCTGGGGCTCTGCATTTTGGCCTGGGCTCGCACAGCACGGAAAGACAGTCAGAGTGCACTTTTGGGGTTTAGCCCTAAACCCTAAACCCTAAACCCTAAGGCCTAAACCCTAAACCCCAAACCCTCAAGTTAGGGCTTGGGGAGATGAAGCGGGTCCAGCGATTAGAACCCCCAGCTAAGGTTGCGGGATTCCAGTATCAAAAAGAAAAAAGAACCACCCAAGTGAAGGTGTCAAGATGGGAAGCATTAGGGTTTAGAGTTTAGGGTGTCAAGATGGAGAGAATTTTTAAGGATCATCCCATACACAGCCCGACAAATATCCTGAGTAAACCCCAAACCCTGAACCCGAAACCATAAACCCTGACAACCAAAAACTCCGAAAACCTAAACCTCCTTGCATTCAAGGCGAGGAGCCATGGTCCCAGGCCACAAAAAAAGCACCAGGACCGCTGGTAACTTGAGCCATATCAAGCGAGAGTTTCTCGAAATTGTGGCCTCTTCTCCCTGCTTCAAGGATACATCACAGCATGGTATCAAGGACAGCTGGCTATATGGAGACAAAAAGCGAACTCATATACTCGCCACATTATCCTAAACCCCGAGCCAAAAACTCCAGACCCTGAACCAAACCTGCACGGCAAACACCTTAAGAGGTGATACGGTCAGAGAGCCAGACTTGCCAGTCGCTCGGTTGGGGGTGACATCCTGAAATTCTGATGACCTGAAGGTCGTCCTCCCCACGTGACTTGCCATTCAAGCAGTCAACTCGCCCCTCATCACCTCAAAAATCCTCTTCCAAGGAGCTTTTTTCTGTGTAGAACCTAGCCCTACTCTCCACAGGCATTTTCTTTTCCGCTCTTCCAGGTCGTCACGACATCTTTCAGAGCAATTGCGCTCCGCCCTCTGCGCCCCGAGGAGCTCTGTCCGCTGAGCATGCGCGGAGCATCTCAAGATGCTGGATCACTGTCACATGGGGACCTGGGCATTTCTGATTCAGGGATCAGGGTTTAGAGTTTAGGGCCACCCCCCCCTCATTTTGTAGGTGTCATAAGACATTCCTTTCCTGGGTCAAGCGTTCAGGTCTAGAAGAAGATGCGCATGGCAACCCCCAAATGGTCTCTATGCCAGTGTCTCCAAGATAGTCCTTCTTCCCCAGTGACTAAGTAGTACCTTCTTTGCATGGAGGACTCTCAAAAGCCTTTTATGCATGGTAAGAGGATTTTCCTAGAACCACTGTCAGGCTATAGTCAGGACCTCATTCGGGGGACTGGGGTTGCCAAAATCCCCCCTGTTCATCCAAGTAGCCTGTTGCCACTGCCGCGTGCGCTGCCCTCACCAACGGATATCATGGACACTGCCTGCGGCACATTAGGGTTTCCAATAATTCTGCCCTTTTCGGGAGTCTCTGTAAAAAGTAAGGCTTGTAAGATATTGGTATCCATGTTTGGGCCCCCAGTTATGCAAGTTGCCACTCACAAGTCAGTTCAAGACCACCTGCCTCTTGAGCCATAGATCCATAGGCAGGCTCAGGAAGACTGGCACGTAGGCTGGTTGCTTGATCCTGCGCCAACGCCTTGCCCGACGAGACCCACCACATGCAGAACGACGACCACATTGAATCAGACGCATGTCATCAACAAGCCTGCCGGTATCTCCAGAATTTCCATGCAGGTTCAAGCGCTCTGTTTGAGAGACGTTTGGGATCATGCTCGGGATGATGCACAAGGTGAGCAGGGGAGCCAGCGCCTGGAAGACGGCGACCACCCAGAGGCGATCGAAGCACTACCGATCGCGGACAGTGCCATCCGGCTCCACGCCCAAGTAGGTCAGCAGGGAAGTGCCGAAAATGGAAGCAACAGACCTTCCCAGGTTATGACACCCCGCCACAAGGGCGAACATGGTGGACTCAAGGCCCGGTGGACAGACCTGGCAGAGAAGGAGGCCTGCTAGGATGTGTGCCCAACGGGCAAAGACATTCTGCAAGACGGCGCCACCCAGCGTGAAGGTTGTGTCTGGAATGCCCCACTCCATGTTCCTACACGTGAAGACCGCCACCGATGCACAGGCCACAAGGCACCAAAGCATGTTCGAGGTGTACAGCAAGCTTCGGTAGCTCCAGTGCGTCACGCAGGCGCTGTACACCCACAGCCCCACAATGCCAAAGATACTGGCAGCCATGCCTAGCCCAGTGGTGTAGAACCAGACTGAGAAATGTGGGCCCATGGGATAGGAGGATGAGTCGTCCGTGAAGAGGCAAAAAGCTCCTCCCTCCCAAGAGATGGTGGACGTGCTCTGCAAGAAGAAGAAGGCGCTCAAACAGCCAATGGTTGGATTCAGCAAGCAGCTAAAGGCAGCGATGATCAGCACAACAAGAACAGTCACAAGTTTCAACTGGCGCACGGCTTCAGCAAGTTGATCAAGGACATCCACGATGTTTGAATCCGTGTTCGTAGCCACGAAGAGTATCTGCAACAGGAAAGGAAGCTCACCTCCTCCAGTCTTTGCACGCGGTGGGGCCGCAAAGAACGCCTTCCGCGTGCCCGCAATCTCTCCCTCGGATCTCGTGGACTCCTCCAGCCACTTCAGCACAGCTGGCACAAGGGCAAGCGCCATCAAGGGCACGGAAAGCATGCAGGGGCCATGAGGTCCCAGGCACTCCAGCACCGATCCGACAGTGCCGATGGCAAGCACTTCCCCCACAGTCTGGCCGTGTCACGAACCCCATGACGGCTGGGCAGCTTCCTCACCCGCTCCGCGACTGCAGCCTCGAGGAGGAGGTCACAAGTGCAATTCTGCAGGCCTACGCAAAAGAAAGCCAGGACGATGGCTGCTTCGCTGTTCAAACTGCTCAAGGAAGACGCCACGGTGGCTGGAAGTAGGTTGACAACACTCTCGTTGTCCTCCTCGCTAAAGCAGAAGACCATGATCAAGTACGTAATCCCTTCCCCCTAACATGAAAACTCACAATAATTAGTAAAACAAAACATCATGCCGAAAAATCCTGGAGCATACTTGTAAACATGTGACAGGCATCACTTCTTCGTAGTTTCGCAAGGATGCTCTTGCGCTTCGACTGCTTGTTGCTGGAGTGGACGTAGTGGGCTGCCGTCCTTGGCGAAGGGCCAAACATGCTAAGTCTTTTACCTACGGCTTAGGTGCCAACGCGCTAACTCTGGCACGAAAGGCTTACGCGCGAAAATGCACGAATCAACGCGCGCATCAGGCCGACTGCGTTTTAGCTGTTTACAGCAACGCTGGCCCACGTTGCGATCGTGGTTGGATGATGGTGGACGCTTGAAGATCTACAACTTTTTCTAGTGCTAATACTCTTTCTGTCGCTAGTAGTAGTAGTACTACTACTACTACTATTATTACTACTACTGCTGCTACTACTACCACCACTACTACTACCATCCGGCCAATGCTCGGATTTGGGGTTCTCCTAATTCGTGTGAGCCATCAGGATCTCCACGCTTCATGGGGGTAGTAGCGGAATGGTAGGGTCCCAAGGGTTTAGGGTTTAAGGTTTAGGGTAGGGTTTGGAGCCCAAGGCTTGCCTTGAAACACTCCCTTTTAGGCTTGAAACCCTGGCCTCTCCCTAAGTAATATGGAGCCCAATACAGGTTTTACTTCACAAAACGGTAGTCCTTAAGTCCTTATTATGCGACCCTTTTGGGGGATCTATGTTACTTTGGGGGACGGTAAACCCCGACAGCAGGTCTTTGCTGTACTGCTGGGCAGGTCGTGCAGTGTGAAGGCTCTAGGCTACTGCGACGTGGCGGAACAGGTGGGTATTTCCCAAATTCCAGGTACCCTTAAACACATGACTTCACAGGTGGAAGTATCTATACTTCTGGGAAAGTCAACCTCCCAAAAAGGGACCCATGATTTTGGGGAACCCAACCAGGTGAGAAACGAGACTGAGCTCCTCCAGCACTTGGGACCGCAAGGAGACTGCCTCTTTAGATCCCTGCAAGGATCCAGGAATTGGTGTTACGGGTTTCGGAGTTTTGGGAGTGCGGAGTTGAATCCCTAAACCCTAAACCCTAAACCTTACTCTTGAGCACGATAAACGAATGTTGGGAAAGTAGATCCTTTCAGGGACCTGGGTCTGTAGAAGTTCGAAGTCGCGTCATTTCCAAGATTAGGGGTCCCGCCTCTGCACCAAATGCGAGGTGCCTTGTAGAGAAGATACCCAAACGGGCCGGGCCCCTACTTTTGGGAAGAACACATTTCAAAGGAAGACCTGCCGAATTGATGTTGTGAGAGCTTAGGAACATAAGCTCTTTCAGACTTGCGCCCATCTTTGGAGCCCTGTACAGCCGGCACATGTCATAGGCATGGCCACTTAGGCACCCAGCACATCCTCATCCTCTGCGGTGATCTGCCGAGAGCCTATCTCCGTGCCAATCTCTGTCTCCCCAATACGCGTGCTCTCAGCATCGGATTCGTCTGACACAGCCGCCAGGTGCAAACGCAAATGCTGCTCTGTCTCCTGAATGTTCTTCTGCGCCATGTTGTAGCCAGACAGCATGGTGGCGATCATGAAACTTGAAACCATGACCCAAGCATTCTCCACCTCCTTTGTGAAGGAGTCACCCAGCCACTCTCCAATCACATCAACCAAGATCTTTCCAGCCAGGTGGAAGTACCCTGGTTTCAGTCCGTAGCTGGCATGGCGCATGCCTAGCTGTTGTAGCATCGGAACCAGCCGGCCACCATCCTGGATCCCTGCCACAGCACTTCCCACCACGCTGATGAACTTTGCCCAAAGGTTCCTCAAAGCTGGCGAGTGCGTGGGATCGTCGGGATTCTCCTCCTCGTCCGTATCCCAGTCCTGCACTTAAGGGCACAAGGTAAAGCCGCCGAAGGGAGGGTGGATACGGCATAATTCCTTATAAGGTGGCCCTGCTTGTTTGGGTACATGTCAGACTCTAAGCCTGCATTCACCTCGCCCCTGCCAGCCCCTCATGATTCTGATTCTATGGCCTCGGACACAAAACGGGACAGGGTATGCGAAAAACCCTACATCCACTGCCAACATTCGAAGCTTCCAACAATCCTGTCTCATCCCCAACATCTCAGATTGGCCAAAAGGCCTTGTAGCGCCAGCGCATGCTAAGCGGGAAGAGCTGCTTTGCATCGGGCTCTAGGGCAAAGAACTTCCGGTAGAAGAGGCCACCAACCGTGCTCAAGCCACTCTCCTGATGTTGAGTGTGCCTCAGACCCTCACAAATCTGTGTTGAAGCTGCCCTCTCTAGAATCCGACGGGGACTTGGAAATTGTTTGCAGGCGCAACCTTCCATTGCAACATCTTCGGATTGGTTACACCCTGTAAACGTTTGGCAGCTAGCTGCCTGCCAGTTGGCAACTCAAGGGACCGTCGGGGTTGCCAAGACCACAACAGGACCCCATCAAAGTGTCATGTGGGGTATCCCAGCAGGGGTTCCCCCTCCCCATCAATTAAAATCTTCTTACCTGTCCCCCACGTGAAGGGACTTCGAGTCTCGAGGCATGCGCTGAAATTTCGTGCTTAGCCTGATGGTTCAGAATATGCACCATGATGTAGCTAATACAGAAACCATGCTGGTCGCCCGGAGTCATAGCATCACAGTTTCCCAGGCAAATATTCATTGTCTGAAGGAAGGAGAGTCATTCGGGGGGTGGGGGGAGGGGGACAGTTTTCGGGTCCTTGAGCTTCAGCCAACTCATCTGCACGGTGGTGTACGACTCAGAGTGCATGTCTGCGCCTTGCGCTTGGCTTGGTACGGGAGGGGGTTCACTGTGTGAACTCACTTCAATACAATCCTAAATCCTAGACACCCTCAACTCTCCAAAGCCCTACACCCTACGAAATGCCCCCGCAGTGCCCGGTGATGATTCTTAGTTATAACATCTCTTTAGACCCAAATCCCGGCCTTTGAATCGTGGCAGTGGCATCTGACTGGACTGGCGCGACTCTTTCTGGTGCTGGCGCACCTGCAAGGCGTACTCGTGGAGGCGCCTCCGCGTGAAGAATTTACGGCCAAGGCTTTGAAAAGGAACACAGGGGCTTCTGGGGTACCGTAATCCTCTTGGTTCCGCTTGGGCCCCCACACGTTGGATGGTTGGATTGATGGAAAAACATAATGAAAATTGGGAAAACCGAGGTCCTGATTTTGGATGCTAAGCAAGAATAGCAGCTTCCATTCTCTTTTTCCATGATCCCTACAGAATCCCAATATGATAGTTACCCCTATATCCCCAACCCCCTTATTCCTTGGAGACCCCAGACTAACCATGATCCTGATACTCGAGCCAAGGTGGCCTAAACGTGGAATGCAGGGCACAGGCTCCAAATGTACAAACTTAGGACACACCACAAGAGCGCCAAACCTCTTACATTGACATAGATCTTCAAGAGGTCCAACTGTGGATGGATGAAATCTTGCACCACCCTATATGGCCTCAATGGTGGTATCTACAGTACTTTTGGGATCCTGAGTACAAGATTCCCTCCATCCACCATGGGATGAAGAAAGCCTCAAGATACCAGAGGCGCACTTAGCAGTTTGGAGGGTGTAGTGCTTAGGGTTCAACACCTCGTGGCACGGTTCCCCTTAGGTTCATAAGTCAGGCAACCCCCACACAAAAAAAAAAGGAACTTCAAGGGCATCTTTAGCGACGTGGATCAGACAACTTCCATCTTTAAGATCTTCCGCGTGAATGTCTCACCTTTTGCTCACAACAACATCGCCAAAACGAGGCCCTCAACACCCTGAAGTCTTCCTACCCATGCTCGAAACATACCGGGACAGTGACTGCGATGCCCCTATTCTAAAACAGAACCAAGAAAGAAACCCGAGTTTTCAGCAAGCCCCGCCTCTTGAGCTTGAGAATGTGGCCAGTGGGAATGCTCATCTCGCGCATGTGCTCATCCTGAATACTCATCAGCGTCTCCATGTCGTCAAAGCCATGATGCTTCAAGACCTGCTGTGGCTGTAGGCTGTTGGTTTTGGACCTTTTCCTGCCGGCAGCTTTAGGGGCAATCCTGCAGATGCAAGATCTTAAAGACAATTTTGTTGCAGCAGTAATCCGCGGGAATGCAAAGGTCGTGAATAATAACAAGCTTGCCAATCAGTCGGTCCATGGTAAGGGACACCGTGTAGGGTGACATGATGACTACATCCTGAAATGCCCAAGAGCCCAATTTCCACACACCCCGCATCACCCACCCCCAAGTTTTTGCGCTAAGGGACACATCCTAAGAGCTCCTCCCTCCTTGCATTCCCTGAAACCTTAGGACCCTCAAGCCCAGATCAAAAAGTGTCCATTTATCTACCCCAAACTAAAAAAATACACTATTCCCCAAACCCTAAGCATAAACCCTAAACTTAAACCCCATTCCACCCTTCCCCCCTCCACCCTAGCATACTGGATGAGGCCAACTTCGCGCAAGAAGGCCGTCACTGGACTCGACGCCGGCTGGCGCTCATGGCGGTCGGGCTTGGGCAAGGGGGAGCCCTGGCACATTCAAAGTGTGGAAATATTGGGTTAAGGGTTGGGGGTTAGAGGTCTAGGGTTTAGGGATTTGGGGGTTAGAGGTCTAGGGTTTAGGGATTTGGGGGTTAGAGGTCTAGGGTTTAGGGATTTGGGAGTTGGAGGTTTAAGGATTTGAGGTTGGGAGTTTGGGGTTTTGCGTTTAGGGCTTTGGGGCTTTGGGTCTTGGAGTGTAAGGACTGACACGTGCCCACCTTGCGCTCTGTGCTTCAGGAATTCCACGTGACCCCTACGCCCTAAACCTTACACGTCAAGATCCTACTTGGCTGTCTCGACGCTTGTGTACACACGGATTCTATTGGGCTGTCAATCTTGATCCCACAAAACAACTTATGGGGATCATGAAAGAGCTACAGGACGGGAGGCCAGACCAAGTTCAGAAAAAATTCAGACTTTGGAGGTGTACGAAGTAACGGGGGGATCTCCCTGCCGCGTAATACCCCAAGTATGTGGAGGAAAAGGGAGCCCCCATCTTAAGCTGCCCCTTAACTAACCCTTAACCCTGAACCCTAAATCCTACACCCAAAATCCTATGCACCGCATATAAAATCCTACGTTACGTCTGTGAAGCCTTTGGAATGAGCCATGTGCCCAGGCAGAACAGAAGTAGTCCAGATCCCTGGAACTGTAGGACTGTAGGTCTCTTAGGGATTCTACTGGGATGTATTGAGTCTTGAGGGTTTAGGGTTTTAGGGTTGGAGAGAGATGTAGGTATCCAGAAAGATCACGGTTCCAAGTCAACACTACCAATGTTTTGAAGAGTATCTCATGCGCAAAATTCGCTTTGGAACCAACTGCTGATCAGAAACATGCTTGAAACCTCTGGAACAGATGTCTGCTATATGAACGTCTGTCTAAGTCTGATGGCTGCCTGCTGGTCGTATCATTGGGGGTGTCGCTTTTCAGGGGTTTCCGTCGCTTTGCAGGGTTTTTTGCGGGGTGTCGCGTTTCAAGGGTTCCCATAGCTTTACAGGGTTTTGGGCCAATTTGGGTTTCCATGTCCAAGCCTTACATTTCGAAGACTGCTCATATGGCCCGGAATCTTGAGAAATGACAAACTGTGGGTTTCATGGAGCCCTGATCCGTTTTGCCAAACTTCTCCTGACTGGTGTGACTTTTGCAATGGATGAAAATATCACATGCTTCCGTTTGCTGCTGATACTCCAACTCCCATTCTTTGTGCGACTCTCAATCCCATTTGCTCCAACAGCAACTTGTCCTGCTACTACTTCTACGTACTTCTGCTGCTAACTGCGACTGCTACTGATACTGGTTTCCACCTCAAATTCCCTTCACTTTCGATGTGCAGCTAGGCCCTACCATTATCCCATTAATCCGTTCATCCCATGGTCTCCTAGTGTGGACTTGCTTGATCCGTACGTTCAATCCATTAAGGCAAAGGTATTGGAGTAATGGGCTAATGCGTGTTGACCAGCGAATTGGGGAAAAGCCATTGGATTCATGGACTAATAATAAACCCAATACTTCCGCCCTGCCCAGATGAGTGAATACAAGAGCGAGTCGGAGTAGCGAGTGTTGCCAAACACAGGGTAGTATAAAACTTTGGGTACTGCAATGACAACAAGGAATCCAAAGGATCACCTACTACCACCACTAATAGCCCCAATCCCCATGCTGCTGGTATGAGCCTTGTCCAGCTTCATGGGCCTCATTTCCTCGCGCCAGGCTGTTCGGCGAGGGTCGCGCGACATCAGCGGCGGGTGCCCAGGAAAGCAAAAAGCCACTTGGCACTCTGAGCAAAACTCTGCCCTTTGGGTGGACAGAGGTTTGGGATCCAAAACAGCCAAGGTGCGAAGTTCATGTTTCCTGGCATCGTCCCGTCTGGCAGAACAACTACCACTCTGAAAGACTGCTGGCAAAGGTTCATGGGCTGCAGCTCACACGCTCAAATCCCAAAATTTGCATCATCACGAGGACGCATAAATCGACAGTGCCATCTCCGTGTGCATTTTGCACGTGACACTTGCAGGTGAAAAGCCGAATGGACACTGGCGTGCGCAACGATGAGTTCTGTCTCAAAGCACGCCCGGCCATCAGCCAAGAAATTGTCAAATGCAAGCAAGGGACTTTGTGGAACCTCAGGTGGTTTTCCACGCCCGCGATGTACTGTTCAGAACCACCCAACGAGCGTTCTGAGCTACATACCAACTCTTCAGGATTCAGAGGCCGTACGCAGGGTACGTTGGGGGCTCCGGTTTTTAAACACTTCAAACACAAGGTATCTCAGTTTGAGGGGGCCTCTCGGCCTGTCACGCCTGGCAGTCAACGCACACGCGAGATCTTGGTACCTGAATACAGCCTTTGCGCAGCACGCACATACGTATACAGAGTATAGAGGAGATGTCTATGATACAGCTGTTCATGACCTCCTTCAATATTTGGTAGTTTCCCTAAATAAGGGGACCCCAATATAGACCCAAAAATACTATAGTCCTTATTATTGGGAACCCCAAAAAAGTACCCATAATTTTGGGAATCCCCCATATATATATATATATATCATACTAACACAATTTCGAGCAAGGCATGGGGAGGCCAGTTTCGCGTGACAGTTATGAGAAGGATGAAGGGCATAGGAGGGCTGTTTGCTGCTTCCCTTGGACCCTACGACTAGCCTCAGGGCCATTACGGTCCATTCAGGTCCTGGGACCACTATTCAGGATTAGGGTTTACGGATTCGGATTTAGGAGCTAGGCTTGGGATTAGGGAAACCCCAAACCCTGAAAACGCTGAGCCTGAAAGCCCTCAATCGGAAACCTACAACCTCAAATCTAACGCTTCAAACTCACTGGCCCCAACAAAACTAAGATCAGCAGCACACCTCAGGCATCTCTGCGACAGTTTCGCATGCGCAGCTGTCTCCTTCGGAGGAGCCTCCCAAATCCCACCTGAACCATAGGGGAGTTTTTGAAACTTTCCCTTCTTGCGGCCCATAGTATTCAAGGACTATATAACCTTATATACGATAGTAGTTTTCATCTTCTTTTCCATTATCCCTATCAATAATCCCCATAGATTCCCTTACTCCCAATATATACCCAGAATAATGAGCACGAACAATAGTGAAGGGACACAAGTCTAAGGCTTGGGGTGAACCTGAGGATTGTTGGGCACTGTACGGCGAGTAGAAGGCCGCTCTTTAAACCAACATGGTAACATGGGCCATAGTCTAAATTCCTAGTATCCCGCTTCATAAGCCCTATAGTTGTTCCCTGTGTAATCCCCTATACAACACCCTTGAAGGAGTTTAGACTATAGCTCACATGGGGGTATCTTGTTCAGGGTTGCCATGGGAGGATGATACTTGAACCCAGAAACACTAGGAACGTTGGGTCTCCACGTTGGGAAGCAGAACACTGCTTTCCTGTAGGATGCAGAAGCCCACAGTTACTAGAAGAAGGTTTTGTGGTAGATTGTCCTGCAGCTATGCCAGCATTCACGGGAACACTTAGTTCATCAGGCTCCATTAGCCCATGTCCCAGTGTACCAATGGGTTTGAGGTTTGCATCCATCAGATACCAATGGGTTTGAGGTTTGAATCCATCAGATACCAATGGTGCTGAAAGCAGCCAGCATTGCTTCCGCATTGCACTAAGTAGAAATGACAAGCAAATGCAAAGTCATGGGGACATCGCCAACGCATGGCAACTGTGCCTATGAACCCTGCCTGGGAGGGGAGCTAGGTGAAGCATCTGGCTAGCGAACGGCTGATGAAAGCAGAACGGCAGAACCAGTGGCATTCTGGAGATTGTAACTCTACTTACTAAGCCCTCCCCTCCGCAACCTTGTCAACTTTAAGATACGGGTCCACATACTTTCTTTAGGCTAGAAGGAGCCACAACTTTTGAGGAACCCCCAAACTGAGGGCGCAGCACTGTATGAAGGAGCGTGGCACCTTGGAGAGCGAGAAACTGAAGCTTGAAGCTGCAAGACCGATCCGAACAAACAAACCTGAAAAGAAGTAATTAGAACCTATGCAAGTCATACTGTGGAGCAATCATACCTCAGCCTAAGTGTGGTAGGATTCTTTTTGTGGTCTCCCCACAGGAACACCCAACATACACAAACGCAATTTTTTCCCAAGGAACCCTCTATACACTCGCCAAGGCCCATTGAAAGTCGGAGAATGCTAGGAAATGATAAGTATACTCTACTCTACTATAAACCCTAAACTGCATTATACTATAAACCCTAAACCCTCATCCCTATCATACTATAACTCATGCCTAAACCGCATTATACAAAAACTCATCCCTGTCATACTATACGCTGCCATTCTAGTTGATAAGATCCTGGCGGTGGTGACCGGCGGCTTCTCCGGACTTCATACGGCGCCGCCTGCCTCGCCGAGCCTGGTGATGGATGGTTGAGCAGATGAGCAGTAATCTAGGGTTTAGGGTTTCGGGGGTTTAGGGTTTAGGGTTAGGGGGTTTAGGGTTTAAGGTTTATCTACTGAAGTAAACTTGCTATAATGTACAATAATATACCATGATATCTCATAATATACCATGAAATATGGTATACTGCGACATACAATCATATTCCATACGGCATTTACCATCTACAAAACTATATAATAAACTACAACTATCATGTATTCTAGTATACCATCACATACTGTAATATACCATTGTATTTTCTAGTATACTCTAATACACCAGAATATAGGCTTCAAAAGGCCACTGCTTGTGAGCTTGCCTTGCCTGTAGGGCTCCATGCTGTTTGGAAGGCACGGTCCATTCCTGAGTGCAATTAGGGTTTGGGGTGTGTGGGCTTCGGGATTTCCATGTCAAATGCATCGGCCCATTGCATGCTGAGGAGCACTAGACCTCCAAGCCGTGCAAGGCACCTGTGATACAAGGTAAGGAGATTTTTCAATCACCATCATAGCAGCCGCACGAATGCTACCACTGATGATAGTAGAAGAATTACTAGCAGTAGCAGCAGCGGGGGCGGCAGCAGCAGCTGTTGGCGGCAACAGCAGCACTGAGTCACAGTGCAGTCGCGGCAGTGGCGGCCATAGAAAAAGTCCCTGTGGTTGCGGTTTGGGTAGTGTCAGCTCAACACCATAGCAGATGATGACTGCATCTTCAACACGTCGGATATTGGCTCCAACCCTAAACCCCTACTTCTCCTAAAGCCTTCTCCTTCCAAACCCCTGTAGTTGCCGTGAAAGTATCATAATCCTTGCTATGGAAACCCTCAAAATGGTACCCCTAATTTTAGGAAAGCTCTACATCTTACCTGTGCTCCTGCACTAGGACTTGCCGTCGGCGACTCCTCGCCTCGCAGCATGGCCAGGCGGTCACCATACGGATTCGGGCTTACGGTTGTTGAGTTTAGGGCTAAAAGTGCAGGGTTTAGGGTTCTAGGTTGTTGGGTTTAGGGGTTAGGGTTTAGGGTTTTAGGTGGTTGGGCTTAGGGTTTAGGCTTCAGGATTCAGGATTTTGAGGTTTGGGTTTGGGTACGGGTTTAAGCTTTAGGGTTCAAGGGTTAGGGTTCAAGGCATGTCCAGAATGATGATGCATATCCCAAAAAGAAGGTTCTGAAAACATCCAACAAATACTGTAGTACTTGCGCAAGGACTTCCAATGTTGCAAATTTTAGGAACCCCATCATCTCCTTCCATTAGCAGTAATGCAGGCACCTTTCTTCATGCTACGCCCACGAGAGATCATTCTTGTGTTCATCCATGATCCCAATAGTATTTTCAACAAATGGCGGCCTGTATGTACCCCCAAAATATAACAATCATTGCTATAAAGAACCCCAGTCCCACAAATCACGACATTATCCCAGTTCTTATGTAGTTCTCCGTTCCCTTTGCGATCTGATTCTCTCGTGTGGGGGGCCACATCCCGAAACCCCAACAACCTAAACCCTAAATCTTATGTATCCCTAATCTCCCTGAAGCCTCTGCAAAGTATAACTCATGAGCAGGCCTGATATGGTGTTTCCTACATAGCGGCCCCAAAATAAACCCCAATATGCTAACAATCATCCTTATTATGGGAACCCCTAAAAGGGTAGCTCTAATTTTGGGAAACCCCAAGCCCTAAGGCCCTAAGCCACCAAACCCCTCAACTCTAGAACCCTAAGCCCTAAACCTTTCAAACCCTAAAACCCTGAAACGCTCAACCTTAAAACCCTTAAACCCTAAAACCCTAAACCCTAAAACCCTGAAACCCTAAAACCCTAAACCCTGAACCCTAAAACCCTGAACCCTGAACCCTAAAACCCTGAACCCTTAGATCTTTTCAGGGGCCCCAGAGCTGCCAGAGCTAAGGCCAGGGCCGCTAGAAGTGTCCGGGTCGTCCTCCTCGCATTCGCTGGGGGCTGGAAAGGGTTTAGGGTTTTGGTGCTTAGGGGTTTAGGGTTTAGGGCTTTGGGGTTTAGGGCTTTGGGGTTTAGGGCTTTGGGCTTTGGGGGTTGAGGGGTTTAGGGCTTTGGGCTTTGGGGTTTAGGGTTTAGGGCTTTGGGGTTTAGGGGTTTAGGGTTTTAGGGGTTTAGGGTTTTGGCGTCTAACGGTGTAGGGTTTAGGGATTTGGGGTTTCTCCTAGTACGCACACTTATCATTCTCAGCCTGGTGACCTTCAACTGAAGAGCAGATCCCTCCCCTGGGGGTCATTGGGACATGGGGGTTTCACAAAATTAGGGGTACCTTTTTGGGGGATGTAGGGGATATCTAGGGGCTGAACAGGGTTTAGGGTTCAGGGTTCTCCAAAATTGGGGATGTCTTTTGCGGAGTCCCCATAATCAGGATTACAGCGTTTTGGTCTCTGTAATGGGTTCCCCTCTTTAGGGACACGACCGCATGAAGCCAAGGACCGACCCCACACAGGCAAGAAAGGAAACGGGCTCTGTGGAAAAATGGGTAACTGGATGCTGGGAAGATAACCTCTCCTGAACCTAAAGCAATGCAAGCTCACAACTAGAAGAAACTGCTCTTGAAAACAAATGCTTCAGAGGGATCACTGAAGTCTGCTCAACAGCAGCGTCTGTTTCGGGTCCCCGGTGCAATGCACTCTCCCGAAATAGGACGATCACTAAAGCTACTTCCTTTAACGCGCACTTTGAGGGTTACAGCTAGTGCTTGAGATCGAGGACTTGGAGCCTTGATAGAGAGAAACTCCCCGGCCCCTTTGTGATCCTCACCGTCGCACGCACCGATGTCGACATCTGCCTCCCCACCGGATGTCAACGCGTCCCCTTAGCTGCAGGACAAGATCACAAGGAATATGTCGTGCATGCTCTAATAGCCACCACGGAATTCCAAGCAACACAAATGTAGTTTTGTGGGTGCATCAACTGACCCCAAATTTTGCGAAACTTTCACATGTAGTGGATAGCGCTAGGGCCTGCCAAAGCACCACATTCTTGGCGAGCAATGGAAGGGGTTCAGGGTTTAGGCCTTCTTGAATCTATCCTGCGCAAGGTGACTGTGGAGAGAAAGTCCTGGCGGGCAGGGACATGCGACTTCCTATCCAGAAGTGCATGCATGTACTTAGTTCAAGAAGCTGCCGAGCACAGTGACGTCACATCTGGCAGGAATTCCAAAGGGACCCTATGAGAACCCACGCTCCACCCCATGCCCTAAACCCTAGAAACCCTGAACCCCTAAGCCCTACAACAAAGCTTACATGTATCAGTGCTATTTCTATCAGAAGTTTAACAACAACATACAGTACCATGGGGTCAACAGTACATGAACACCAACAATAATCAAAGCTCCCTCCTCCGATGTCGAAACCACCCCCTGGTATCAAATGCTCCCATTGTGGTGTACTTGAATGTGTTCGGTATGTTAAGTGTCAGGGGTATGCGGGGGGGTGTTAATATTAGGGTGAGGCGAATTGGCAAATGTTGCCACTTTTCCGAGAGCCAAGCCTGCTGGCTGGAGCCGGGCCGAAATTGTCCCGGAAGTCCAATGGCCCACCTGAGCAACTCCCAACATTTGGGTAGTTCCTAAAATTATTGTCCCGTTTTGGTACCCTTAAATATTTGGTGCGTACGTAAGATAATCTATAGCCAAAAGGGGTCCATAATTTCAAGACCAACCAATTTGCATAGTTGGGGTTTAGGGTTTGGGCTTCACTCACCGCGTAGTCGTGAGCGACGGGGCTTCGGTTTTGAGAGCATCCAATTACCAGAGCATCCATGGCGACTCAGAGTCTCGCGCAGCCTCAGCTACAGCCAATTATTCTGTAAAAATGCAATTTTCTGCGAACGCTCATGCAAGAACATTGCCTTCATGTTCGAGAACGTCCGATTACCAATGTTCGGGAGCATTCCATTACCAGAACATTCATGCCCCAACCATGCTAACGTTAAAGTTCGAGAGAACCACTCAATACCACGGCATCCACGCACAAACCACCTCGCGCCCAGCAGGACGAACTCAATGTCCCATACTGACTTTGAGCGCCCTCAAATAGCTGACTCACAGTCTTCCGCAGCTTTGGCTGCAGCTACCGTAACCTGTTAAACGTAGCATTTCGGGAACCTTGATGCAAAAACAGCGCGCCCCAGTGGGACGAACTCTATGTCCTAGATCGACTTCAAGCGCCCAGACATAGCTGACTCCTGGTCTTCCGCAGCTTCAGATGCAGTCATTTTGATTTGTAAAACGCAGTATGGGGGTTTCCCAAAAGTAGGGGTACCCTTTTCGGGGGTCCCCATAATAAGGACTATAGTATTTTGGGGCCCATATTGGGGTTCCATTATTTTGGGAAACTACCGTATACCGGATACCCTGATGCAACAAAAACACCATGCGGAGTGAGCAAAAATGCATGTCGTATAATTACAGCCATGTCAACATGGAAAAGGATAGCCTACAGATCCCCATGGTCCCCAAAAAGGATTTGCACAACCACGAAGCCCACAACCCCTCACTACAAGAGACTGCGTGACTTTAAGAATAACGCCCCGAACTACACTGGAATTCTTGATGAGCTTTTCACATTGGGGTAAGGGGCCAGTGTTTTTCTCAAACCCTGCGATTCTTGTATACATACTATATACCCTACATTCCTTTATGTACCCTTAAGGGTCCCTAGAATCGCCCTAAAAGGCCCAGGGGCCCATACTTGAAAACCTTTATACCCTAAACCCGAAACTCTGAACTGTTGGTTTCCAATGTGCCGTGAATTATAGTCCCCCCTAAGTAGATAGAATATGGGATATATGGGGATCTTATTATAATATACCCAAAGCCATATTCTATCTACTTTAGGGGGACTATATCCAGAGTTTGAATCATCTAGGGTTCTGATGAAAGGCTCTCGGAGGCAAGAGCTGGTTCTGCGGAGATTTACGTCTAGAGCAGAACCGAGCACTCCCGCGTTTGGGTTTGGGGTTTAGGGTTTGGGTCTACGCTTTGAACCTGAAACCCAGTCTGAGCTGCAAACCAGACCAAGAAATGTCACAAGTTCAGCAGGAAATTTTCGGTTCTTGAAACACATAAGGGTGTATGCTTCTTTGTGAGACACCAGACCCAAAAGGAGGATAGAACCTTGTTCCAGCCTGAAGGCTTTCGTATCCCAACTTAAGATACCAATCATATTATGACTGGTTAGCAAAGAGATCCCTGCGCTTTTTTCAGGAAAGAAGCCCATGAGCTGATTATCATTCTTCAGTCTGGGTTTTCCCGAAATTATTTGTAATGTTTGAGGGTCCCTATACTAAGGACTCTAACATTTTGGGTGTCTATATTGGGGTCCCCCTATCTTGGGAAACTACCATATCTTCCTGTAGTACACCCTTTGAAACACTATTCAGTTCAGTAGTGTTTTGTTGGTGGTTGAACCAAGTACGATTATATTCCTTACATACAATACAATACCCCAAAAGGAGGATATAATCTTACTCTATATTGGGTACCATAGTATCCCCAAATAAAGTACTACACAAATAACCCTTATATAATCCCAGCTTCCATTTCATTTTCCATTTTCTTTTCCATTTGATTTTCCATTATAGGGCCCTAAACCCTATATTATTAGGTACCATAGTATCCCCAAATAAAGTACTACTCAGTTGAGGCTGGAACAGCATCCTTTATGCGCCAACTTCTTGCCTGTAGGCTGCATCTTTGTAGGCTTCGGGGCTCTAGGGCTAAAGGTTGCGGGCTCAGGCTTTTTGTAACTTATTCCGGTTGAGGATTGAGGATTTAGGGATTCAGGTTTTAGGTGCAAGGTTCAGGGCGTACGGTTCAGGGCTAGGATTCAAGGTTTAGGAATTTGGGTTTGAGGTTGAAAGTTTGAGGTTCAGTATGTAAAGTGGAAACTTCCGCTGTGACAGCTTAGGCAAGATCAGTGGGAATCCTAATGATAATTATTTCATCTTCTGAGATGTGACAAATATGACGACAAGGACGTTTATGAGACACTACCCCTCTTGGAGTAACTCGAAACACTACTTCTTTCGAAGGCACAGGACCAGTCATACCGTGGAAATATCCTGTAGAATATGCTAAGTTGCAATATACATAGCTTCCTGAGATGCCGCCTAGCCTGTAACAGTACATCCACCTCCCCTCAAACCTCAAACCCTCTACCCCAAATCGAGGTTCCCTGTCATGTTCCATGCTCTTGTCCATTTGACTCTCCACGAGTGAAAACCCCCCAAATCCTGTGCCACCTTCAGTTTCAACTTCTAATTTTGAAAATTCCTTTTCAGGTAATTCTCCATATTCAGTGCCGAGGTGACACTAAGCCTCTACGTCCTGAATCCGAGTTGTTCTTGCAGAATTGCCATTGAGAGCCAGACGCTATCGCGCATTCTGGTCGCTGCTAGTCCTGTGTCAATTTGAGGGAGCCCTGATCCCTAGACCATTGTTGAAATGGGAACAGTAATACAAACCAGTTATGGCAATTCTGATAAGAATACTATGAATAGTACTAAGCACTAAGTCATAATCACAATCATCAAAATGGTGAAAATAATGATAACACTGGTATTCAGCTATGACAGATGACCGGGCAGTCACACAAGTTATGTGATACTCTACCTCCAGGTCAACAAACTCTTATCCTAGCTGATTACAAAACGACACTTGCTCCAAGTGTTCGTTGTTCCGAATACCTTTCCCCCAAGGGGTCATAAGGTAGGTTCCCTTTGTGGTTAAAGCATCTCATTTTAAGGAAGCAGTCCGTTGAAAGGACCTTTAGAACAGCCCCCAAATGAGTAGCGTCTTATTTTGTGGTTGAATCTGGTAAGGTCATATTCCTTAGAAAATACTCTACCCAAAAGGAGGATATAACCTTACTCTCTATATTGGGCACCATATTATTCTGCACCATATTATCCCAAAATAAAATACTACTCGAATGGATTGGCAAAAAAAGTCTCAAGGCCTTCCAAGCGGGCTTGTGAGGATGCCGTACATCACTGGTCATGAAAATTTTTCCACCACCCCAGATATTATAGTATATGAAAAATAGAATATACTACATTCTAGTATACCGTTATATATTACAATACAATATCGTATAATATATTACCCCAGAGGGGTGACAGAAGGATTGGATCAGAAAGGTTGTTAGGAATCCTGCTGCTGTCTTTGCTTGCCATTCTGAACTTTTCTGATTGTGATCACTTGTTGCCACTCTCCGTACAGGGATGGCATGTCTGAAGAAGACCCAGTCCAGGAATAGCTACAAATCTGACTGTTGACTATTACGTCATTCTATGATCTTTTCTGAGAGTGAGACATCTTGAAAATCCTTGCTTCCGTATCTGGACTCCCAACAACCAGCCATGATCAATGATTCTTGTCACGGAAAAAACTGGTTCAGGTGCCGAAACCCTAGCTTCAAGTCTTTGAACACCGGCGCCTAAATGACCTGCGATGCTGTCGATCGGGACAGGGACCCCACTGCGATCCCAAAATACATGCCTTCGTGAGCAGCTTATCATGGACTATATTATGGGGGTCATATAGGGGTATAATATTGGGATTATATAGGGATAACGGGAAAGAAAATGGAAACTACTACATAGTAAATTGGGGCCATCTAAGGAGAATGGAAAAGAAAATGGAGACTACTATATAGTATATTGGGGTAAATCTAAACGCCCTTACATTGGGGCTATATAGGGATAATGGAGAAGAAAATGGAAACTACTATATATTATATTGGATTTACATGGGGAGAATGGAAAAGAAAATGGAGACTACTACATTATAGGGTTATGTGCGGAGCAAATCGATTTCTGGGAAGACTTGGGGCACTCCGTGGCTTGCAGGGTTATAGTATAATATAGTATAATATAGTCAAATAGAGTATAATATAGTATGATATGGTTTAATGTAATATAATATCGTATATGAAAGCATGTTATAGTATATTATAGTATATTCGACTATATTTAGTTAGTTCCCTGACGAGTGGCTTCCTAACATGGGATCCCAAGAAATGCATTGAGACCATGGAATTGCTCCACATCACTTTTGCTTGTGTTGCTTTCACTTTTCTGTCGATGTTTCTGATATGCCGAAATACGTACACATTTTGGACACCCCGTCCTAAACCCTAGACCCTAAACCCTAAACGTCCGCTTTTTGAGCGCCAGACTTCGGAGGCTCCTCTGCAAAGGCATCCGGTCGAGACCTTCATCAGGAATATCTTTCGAATGCCCGTGAGTCTTGCCGCGTTTTTGGCAGCTGCCTATATAACCCCTAGATGATATAGTAGTTTCCGTCAAATTTTCCATTATCCCAATATAACCCCAACGCTACACCCTAAACCCTAAACCCTAAACTGGTCGCCAGTTTATTTTCCATTTCATATGACCCCAATATTACCTGCCAGAACCATGATGTACGGCGCAATTGAAACTTTCAAAGTGCCCCTGAGTCAACGAGATCGAAGCTACAACAACGTTAATTTTAGGGTTAAGGGTTTAGAATATATTTGCATGTGCGTGTGTGTGGCACCATTCTCAGTGTTCCGTCGTAGGATTATGGGTAAAGTATACTAACCTGAAATAAACCCTAAACCCTAAACCCTAAACCCTAAGCCCTAAAGCCGCGTTGGGACCTTGTCCTATGGGGAGGTCAGGCGCAGTCATTACAAGTTGCCAGGATCATTCTTCGCAACTGTTTGCAGGTGTTACTATGATATGGTTTAGGGTTTAGGGTTTAGGGTTTAGGGTTTAGGGTTTAGGGTTTAGGGTTTAGGGTTGAAGTCTTGAAGTTGGGTGGGCGTTTAGAGTCTCACGGATATGCGCAAGGATTCTCATATGGGCTATAGTTTACACTCCTAGTATCCGCCTTAATAACGCCTGTAATACTCTAATATACTATGTAGTCCTTCTGGTTGTGGTCTTGTGAAAATCTCACTCAGTTCAACTACCAAGGACCCATTGCACATATGGTCGTTTCCGAGAGTAAGGGTACCCCTTGCATACCCGAATACAATACAATTCTTGAAAAATCCGAGTTTTTGCAAACCACACCTCTACATGATCCCAGCTTCCAGTTCATGATCCATCTCGTCTTCAGGTTGATTCCCCCTTATTGGAGGGTAAAATCCTAAACCCCATACCATCCAAACCCTAAACGGTACTACGTGAGTCAATAAAAGCACCCAAAAGACAAACATTTGATTGCCAGGGCAAAAATTCGGGGAAAGGCTTGGCCGAAACACCTGGGGAGTTCCTAAAGTTAGGGTCCCTTTTTGGTACCCCTAAATATTAGGTGCCGCAACATAATCTATAAGCAAGAGGGCCCGCAATTTTGTGAACCCACCTGCTTCCCAGTTGGATTTGCACGAACCGCTCAGACCCATCTGAGGACATGCTGTCCCAAACCTGAGTGGGTTTCGGATTCAGGGTTCAGCTTCCTGGCGGTTAGTCGGGAATATGGGAATATACTCCCTACATGACCCCTAGATAATATATTCCCTTACTCTCTACTAACCCCAATTAAGTCAGGGTTTAAAGTGTAAGCTTTAGGAAAGACGGCCTTGTCGATTCGGAGAATGGATAGGATGCAAAATTGGTGCAGTCCCCCTACTACTCACACCACCACTGCCACAACCCACACAACTGCGTTGGGGTTTAGTGTTTAGAGTTCCGGGCTTAGGGCTCAGGAGCAAAAATGATCGCCATAATGCCCAACTTTTCCCAACACAACCACGATGATTGCTGCCACTGATATTCTATCCATCTTCACTAAAAACGGATACCTTCGCAAAAAGACAAAAAAATCCTGTGAGAATTATCTTTTCAATGCTGTTCCGAGGCCGTGTGGAATCTCTGTGGCTCTGTAACATATAGGGCTACATTTAGGGTTAGTGGAAAAAGAAAATGGAAGCTACTATATAGTATATTGGTGTTATATAGGGATAACGGACAAAATGTTAACCACTATATACGTAGTACATTGGGGTTTATTCAGGGTTAGTGGAAATGAAAATGGAAACGACTACATGGTAAATTGTGGTTTTATCGGGATAATATGAAAGAAAATGGAAACTACTATATGCTGTATTGGGTAAATCGAAAATCCCTTACGAAGCCCTTACTGCAACCCTGCAAGCATAAAAAATACCCTCAAGCCAAGCTCCAAAAGATGCCAAAACCTAGTCACCCTTACCTTAAAAATATAAGGTTCAGGGTTTAGGGTTTAGGGAACCACTCCCGAATTTTCCCAAAAGCCTCAACTTTGACCCCAAAACCCAAGCACCCGAAACTAAACTCTGAATAGTAGTTTGCATGTTCTTTTCCATTATGCCTTCATAGCCCCAATGTACTGTATAATACTTTCCATTTTCTTTTCCATTAAACCTAAATATACCCCCAATATTATATAGTAGTTGGTTTGCATCTTCTTTTCCATTAACCCTATATAAATCGTATATAACCTTATAACATGATAGCTTCCATTTTCTTTTCCATTGACCCTCGACTCCAAAACCCGGAGGACCAGGCGCCCGGCCATGTGGCTGACGTTGCTTCTGAAGCCGCTAGCCTGCAGTTTTGGGTTTTAGGGTTAATGGAAAAGAAAATGGAAACTACCATGTTATAAGGTTAGATAGGGGTTATATAGGGGTTATATAGGGGTTATATAGGGGTTATGTAGGGATTATATGGGGGTTATGTAGGGATTATATGGGGTTATACAGGGGTTCTATAGCTAGCTTCATTGTAGGGATTAGGGTGTAGGCCTTTGGGCTTAGGATTCAGGGGTTCTGATTCAGACTGGGTTTAGGGTTTAGGGCTTAGGGCCTAGGGTGTAGGGTTTAGGGTTTGGGGTTTAAGGTTTTGTTCCTTTTTTTGCCGGACCTTTTTCCTTCGCAGGAATGCGGGGTTTAGGGTTTAGGGCTTAGGGTTTAGGTGTTAGGGGTAAGGGTGTAGGGTTCAGGGTTGAGGAAGACATGTCAAAAGTGTGCCTCAATGTGGGATCCACTTCGAAGCATACCCCGCAAAAACAGCTTTACTTTTCACAAGGATCTCGCAAGTTCTAGGATCTGGTGGTAGAGTCACATAGGATACACATGAGCTATAGTCTAAACTCCTAGTATCCCCCTTTAATAACCCCTATAGTAGTCCCCCTATATGGCCCCCTTTAAGGAGTTTAGACTATAGCTCACATGTAAATAAGCCATTTAGTGTAGGCATCAATGCTAGAAAAACCTGTTGGCCTGGCTCCGCCCTAAGCAGGGTTGAGGGTTTAGGGTTCAGGGTTCAGGGTTTAGGGTTTAGGGTTTAGGGTTCAGGGTGAAATTGTTCTAGGGAGTTCTTCTAAGCTTGTGCTCTAAACTGGGGGAAGAAATGCCTAAGCTTAACAAACTCTGAGCAATCAGAAAGCCGACTCCCAAAGCCTCTCTACATCCAAAAGCCTAACTGCCTAAACCCCAAAAACTCTGAACCCTACAGCTTGAATCCTAAACCCTGAGCCCTTCCTTGAACCATGAAACACCCCTGAAACATAGACTCCAAACCACCACCCTGGCTGACTATGTTTTGGGAGCTTCCTGGGCTCTGAATACGAAGCCCCTTTCTGTGGAGCACTGGCTTCTCCAGGCACTGGGCTTTAAGATGTATGGGCTCGTTTAGTGCAGGGGGCCTGAAGGCAAAGAGCGATCCCTTGCCCCCAGCCTGTTCGTCGACAAGTGACTCTACATCACTGATCAAGACCATGAGGTGCCGAAGCTTCCTTCCGAGACTTTTTCTCCAAATGGAAGACAGAAAGCACTCCGAAAGGCTGCACCTTGACTGCAAAAACAATGGGACCCCTAAAACGGTAAGGCGGAAGGGTATAGTACCTTGTATAACCCTGACATAACCTATAGCCCATATTTCCCACCCCGCCCAAAAAGGCCTTACATACAACTGAGAAGGCCCTGGTCTAAGGGCTCCCAATTTCTGGCAAGAGGCGGAGGAGCTTTCTTGGGCTGGCAAGAGGCGGAGGAGCTTTCTTGGGGATTTTCAGGTGATTGTGGGAGTTCCCACATCCTTAAGGGCCCGAAGACTTAACCCCCAACGTCCTTTATAATCATTGTTCCCATTGCAATATACTAGCACTACAAGAAACAGACTACTCATTATCACTGGCAAGGGGATGAATGATCTGCTATGCCAGCGCTGAAAACCATGCCTGTGACAAGAAGACTTCGCCAAGACCTCCAAAGGTTGAACCCTCGACCCTAAAACTGAAAGCCTAGCCATGAAGCCATGGCTGTCCCCTCGTCATTTGGTGAAACCATACCAAAAAAGTGAAGATTCATACTATTATAGCATTATTATTGTCATTATCAGTACTATTACTATTACTTTTAATACTATTGTTGCTATATAAAACCCAAGCCTTGTAAACCTAAACAGCTTGTCCTCAGGCAGAGCACGGGCCACCACGGACAACGTTGTGGCCCTTCAAATGCCGTCTTTGCATCACACAAAAATTCGAGCCCACGAAAATCAGTTAGGGTTTAGGGTTTAGGGCTTAGGGCTTAGGGTTTAGGGTTTAGGGTTAGGGTATGGAGGCTCCGTCAAGAGCAACAAGAGGATACTGTAGAGCATGGAGGTCCATTCCATTAACCATCTGGGCACACTCCTCTATATATAACTATGATCCTTGTATAGTCCCCGTATATAATCCTTGTATATACTCTCTATACATGGTCCATATATATATATATATTACCATGCACCCATCCTCCAGGCTAGTACAGCAACAAGAGCAGCAGCGCATGTTGTTTTGAACAGCACAGCAAAGCTTTGCAAGCTGGACATGCATTAGCAAAAGCAAAGCAGCAGCAAAGCTACCACTTGCGGCAGTACGCCATGATTGTTACACACGTACTCCCAGTACTTTGCAGGAAAGAGCACTGCTTCAGCGGAGACTGCTGAACGCAGAGCTCATTGCCGGGGTTTGGAAAGGAACAAATGTAGTAGTCGATTCTCTGATTCTCGACTAAGCACCTGGAGTGTAAAGCCCGGACTTTCCACCTGTTTCAGCTGGAAGACCAGAGTCTCTCAAGTTCGCCTATCTGTAAACATGCTTGGCTGTACAGGGAGATCCTTTCAGAATCCGACGGATTCCGACGGATCTCGGAAAACTGTCTGAACTACAGAATTGCAATCGAAAGCATGAGCTAAGGGGCTTTTGGGCGAGACCGTTTTGGCAGTAGTAATTGAACTATACGCCAGCCCGGCTGGCCCCTCCCTCAAAGCCCTTAAAGTGATGAATTCCGTTCAAAGAAGGATGCATCCAGAATCCACGGAGGTCAAAAATGTCAGGAGTGGCTTCTCTTCTGGGCCTCGCAAAAGAGGTACCTCTGGATTTTGGAAATCCTGGGATTTGTTAGGTTCCTAAAACGACCCCAATATAGACCTCAAAATACTGTTACTATACTCCTTATTATGGGAAACGCTGAGGGTACCCCTAACAAACCACATTTCAGCGGAGCTAGTCAACCTTAGGTTGTGGACTGCGCCGATGCATGGTTTTAGCGCGCGGCTTCCGACACACGGCACCTCAGCTACAATGTGATTGGCTACACATGCAGTTTGAGGGCAAGCAAGCATGGCAAACATGTCGCGATGCAACTTCCAATCTTGCTACCTCCACCTGCTGCTACTACTGATGCTATCACTCCACCAGCTGCACCACACACAGCCGCACCACTTGTAGTAGTGTTCGCGGTTGGCGGCGTCGCAAAGGAGGAAGAGGCGGAAGAGGAGGCGGGCAGCAGCTGAAATGATGGGCACAGAAAGATATTAACCCTGGTAGTACTCGCACAAATGCCGGTGATCATTGAGATGTAGCACTGGTCTGCTGCAGTCTACACTTTGGGACGCTATAACCGCGCAGCTGAGCTCGCAGCCTATCCTATCACTGCTGGCTGGAGCCACCATTAGAGAAGCCCTGGGTGTACTGGGCGCTGCAAAGTTCTGCAATCCTGCCTCAGAACCAACACGGCAGCTCCACAAGAGTGTGTATCTGTGGTTTCTATTTTTTCAATGACCCGTGATAGCAGCCAACAATTTGATAGACCTGCGCTCCCAACAGCTGCAACCGCATCTGTTCAATTCCAGGCCCCACGCCAGCGAAGTGTCCAAATGAGGGTTGTTCGGCTTGCGGATGCAACCCTGCCACCAGGAGACTGGCTGGTGCTTCACATTGAGGGCGGGTGGATCTCCATAACTCTACCTCTAGAATCCACATGTGAGCTAGAGTCTAACTCATAGTATCCCCCTTTGTAACCACTATAATGCTCCTCTATAGAATGCCCCATATAAGCCCCTTCAAGCAGTTTAGACTACAGCTCAAACGTACACAGTACCTGCACCTTGTAAGGAGGTTGGGAGTTTCGGTCCTTAGAGACACTACCTGGATAAAGAGAACAGCACAGGCTACGTCTAGCTACACCTCCACCCTATCAGCCCTGAGATCTGTTTAAGGTTTACAGTTTAGGGTTCTAGAAATACTTTGCAGAAAGTGGAGCATGTACCCCCATCTGCTGCAGAGGCCAGCGGTGCCGGCAATGCTGCTTGAGTTCTGAAGGCTTTTATTCCATTTTCCGCACTTCTCCAAGCCCTAAAGCTTAAACCCTACACCGTCACGGAAGAAGTGATCCAGTCCAAATTCACGTGCTTCCCGTTCCTCCATGCCTGGCACAGGTATGCTAAGTCCTGCAGCGTGCAAATCCCGATCCCAAACTCTTAACGCAAGCTGCTCACCCCCAAATACCTTGTAACCAAGCCCGGAAGGATTTACATGATACGGCATGAGGGCCTCTAAACGGCAAGCCCATCGGTAGCCGGACGCCAGATCCAGCAAAGATATCCATCCTTCACTTCGGCAGAAAAAGTGAAAGTTGATACAAGTGGATCAAAACATAGATCCCAAAATACTACATTCCTTATTACAGGGACCCCAGAAAAATACCCCTAATTTCGGGAAACCCCCATATACAGGATTGTGTTGGCGTGGGGTAGGAGGGCCGCCCCTACTTCAAGAAATGTACAAATTCAAAGTGAGGCCGACTATCACATCACAATGGCGCTCAACAATAAACTGCCAATGACAAGAATAATGGCATGAATCATAACCATATGCCCGCGTGCTACAGTCTGCACAAGTTTTATAGTGCAGTATTTTCAGATTTTGGCTTCAGCTTGATCTTGGCTTAGCAGAGCTGCTAGCTTGGGGTGTAGATTACCTGTCTGCCTTGGACACCTTATCATGCTGAAGATCCTGCGCGAAGCTTCGTGGCTAACTTGTATGATGGAATTCAACTGTATTTTCCGTAGTATAAGGTTCCACGCTCCAAACAGCAATGGCTACAACAACGGTACTCAGAATCATCCAAAGCGATGGTGACCAAGGGCTCTGGCGCACCCCTGTAGCCGCCAGCTGCTTACGGAAGTGTCATGCGGGCCTGGGTGATCAGAGCGTGATATCCTGCAGGGCCTCCAGGGGACCCTGCCTATCAGTAACCCTCACCCCCAAAACTTGGTTATATTGGGGTAATGGAAAATAAAATGGAGACCACTACAAGGGGTTATATAGGGTTTAGGGTTATATTGGGATTATAGAGCCCCTAAGTCCTGATTTGCATACAGAATCGGCACGCATCTCGGGAACTATCTGCGGCTAGCTTGTACCGAATGAATGAAGGATGAGGCCTAAGCCCCGATCACTAAACTGAAACCCTCAAGCACCCCACTCCCTGTATAATCCCTATATGGGGGTTTCCCAAAATTAAGGGTACCTTTTTAGGGGTCCAATAATAAGGAGTATAGTATATTGGGGTCTATATTGGGGTCCCCTTATTTTGGGAAACTACCATATAGTCCCTATATGATCCCATTAGACTCCTCATTTAATCCCTAAATACCATATTCCCTTCAGCAATCTCAAGCACCCAGCAATTATAAAAGGCTGGCCTGGCGGCGAAGCTATGCGGCCACGGACCTTGCACAGCGCTAAGGACAGATGATGCCATTTGGTCCCTTTCCGGCGGGATTCTGGTAATTACATAGTTAAGGATTCCGGTTTAGGGTTCAGGATGTTTTAGGGGTCTTTGTTGTGCCCGCTTATTTATGGAAACGATGTACCAAGTACAGCTTGGGGGTCTTAGATTGAGGGTTAAGAGATTGGGAGGGCTCTATCTTGTTTATGGGAACTACCAAGTACTTTGGGTTTTTGATTTCGGGCTATGAGGTTTCGATGACCCCTCCTGCTGATGGACGGGGCTTAGGTGTTTTTAGGGTAAAAACATGAAACTTTCATCTCTCAACAATAAGTCAATTTGAGGGCTTGCTGCTAAACCCCCCCAAACCCCAAACCCTCCAGCCCTAAACCCTAAACCCTAAACCCTAAGCCCCAGTTTCAGGCTCGGGCTCGCGTCTGAGACGACAGCCTTACCTCCACGACCTCAACCTCAAGTTGCCCAGGCGGGGTTTGGGTTTCGGGCTTTTTGGGGTTAGGGTTTAGGATCGAGGGCTTTCAGGTTTGAGTCTTTGGGGTTTCAGGTTTAAGGGTTTAGGGTTTAGGGAGTGCATGGTCTGAGGGCTTAAGGCTAGGAGCTTTGAGTTTGGGGGTTTGAAGGGCTCGGGGTCCACAATATGACAGTGGTGCTTAGTGACCGCTCCTGGCTATGCACAGTCCAGGATTTTATCTTTCTACGTGGCGACCTGTCCGGAACAAACTGAGGAGCCATTTCTCCTTTCATGATGAGACCTCACTGGAAGGTCTCATTGTGTGGAGGGGCATGCTATTTCGCGGATTCGTGATGGTTGTTAGCAGGGAATGGAGGAGTGGATTTGTAAACTAGCCGCTTCGGGTTTCTATGTTCCGCTCCATCTCTTCATTCCCTACCAACCACCAGCAAGTGCATAGAGACGTGCATGCTCAGGACCGTGCAGCCGTTCCAGCTCGGATAGCAGTAACAACCTCCTAGCCAAACATTGGGGGTTTCCCAAAATTGGGAGGTACCTTTTTGAGGGGGTCCCCATTATCAGGAGTACAACACTTGGGAGTCTATGCTGCGGTTCGCTTATTTCGGGAACTACCATTTGACTTGACCTTCCAGTCAAGAAGTGCGTCTCCGTCAGTACCAAGGAGCAGCACAAGCCCTAAACAAATGCATCCAGTTCTTCTCCCTGGAAGCTTCTCAAGATCAACTATAATCTAAACTCCGAGTATCCCCCTTAATATTCCC